CTGGGCAGTCTGTCTCACCCCATTTCTCACAGGAAAAGGCCTATAAGTATATGCAGGCATGATGTCAGAAGATGCCATGGACTATGACAAATTAAAAGTGGATTTGCTGAAATGATAAGAACTTCCTAAAGAAGGTTTTCATCAGACTTGACACTGGAGAAACTGTATTTCAGTTTGTGGCATGTATACAGCAATACTTCCCCAGATGGACTAACATGGGCAAGTGTGAAAATAATTTTGAGAGACTGGTGGTCTTAGTAATATGTGAACAATTCATAATGACGTGTACAACTGACATGCCACTGTTTCTAAAGGAGAAAGCACCAAAAGACATGAACAAGATGATCAAGCTGGCAGAACAGTATATGGATGCCCATAGAGGTAGTACAACCCACTGATAAGAGTACAGAAAAATAATTCATCTTGTCAGTTGGATTCTAAAGTAATTGAATCAGCCGAGAAATATTTAAAGTTTTAGATAGAACTGTGATATTCTATAGAGTAAAGAATTTTTTTACATACATTTGACTTGTTTTGAATATATTATTTTAAAACAAATGGATTGTGTGCTGTCCATTTATTGTTCAATTTTATTGCCAGCAAGTCACAGACACCTACTGTAAAAGAATCCCAGCCCCCATATACATAAAACTCTGACTGTGACCATGTGGGAAGGTGAATTAGTCTATACTGACTTGCAACTTGACTTAGATCATTAAAGTTGAGTAATACAGTCTGCAGTTGACAATAGTTTAATTTTTTATGAATTACTTATAGTTTAAAATTATAAATATTTCAAACATAGGATACTTCTTGATAATTTCAAAAATTCTTGAAAAAGTAACTTTAGGCTTTTATTATTAAAGTGAAGGTGTAAGACTTCTTTTAGATTAGCTTTGAAAAAGTTTTCAATATACTTCATCGGATATCTTCAAATGGTTAAATTGTGATTATTGGCTTTTTATTCTTAAGTTGAATGCATAGTAATAATTCATAAACTGGTTTAAATGTGCATTTGTATTAATATTTTGCTTTCTGTTTTGGTTTTGTGCAACTTTTTGCTTGCATCTTTCTAAAACTAATATTGGAGCTACTAATCTCCATTGAACATATACTCGGGGTTTTCAAATATTCTTAAAACCAGGAAGTATTCACAGATTTCATTTATCAATTTCCTGGTTGAGAAATGTTCAGCAAACTTGGGAAATCTACATAGGATTTAGAACAATAAAATTTATTAAAAAATCTAATTGTCTGCAGTACTGTGTTCCTTTGCTTCCATAGGTCATTTCATCTACCTAGCCATCATTTAGCACAAGTTACAACATTGTGTACCATTGATATGTTACACTGTGTATGTCATCACTATGTATAGCTTGATACAATTATAAAACATCTTACAACAAGGACTCTGCCATAATTAGATGTTGGTAAATTTGTGCATGTATTGTGACTCGCTACCCAGTTTAATGTGTTGACTTTACACAAGTATTTCTAATGTAAGTCTCCAAACTGCTCGTATAATATAACACTTCGTGTTTGGGCACTGTGGTTCTAGCGTCAATTGTATTTACCAGTGAAATTTTGATAATTTGGACTCAGTGTTACGATAGGCATTTTGAAATAACTTCTATTGTAAAATTGTCTGGAGACTGGTTGTGAAATCTTAATTTTCATCTAATATAATGTTCATAGAAACAATTTTCTGCCATGATTCAAATAAATATACTATAAAACAAAGAAGCTTCCAGTGTTGTGGAGGTTATAAATAGAACATGCATAAGCATGTCAAAGTAAATAAATTGATACCATGGAAATGTAGTTGGAAGAAGACTTGTACTTGTCTTGGTGAAAATGTTAAATGTATATATATTTTTCCTCCTTTCCTTATTCAGATGTTAAATGTATATATATTTTTCCTCCTTTCCTTATTCAGATGTTGGAGGATGGGGGCTAGAAATACATTAATTGTTCATAAGCAATTAAAATCGGCACTATAAAACAATAATGAGCTTAACGTAAACCAGAAACTTCGTTTGCAGTGAGTCATACTCTTAACCTTATACAAATAACTCGTTTATGTTATAGACAGTGGGCATTGTTATTTGTGAAGAGATGAATCTAAATTCACGCACAGTGAATGTTGAAGGCCTATTGGTTTTAATGGGGGTAGGGGCTCACCTCGCCAAATTTACTAATGTCATAAACCGAAATACTGAAAAATATATTTTGAAATTTGCCAAATAATTCGCATAATGTCTCTTGTTTTAATTTGTATAAGTTTAATTACTGTTAACAGAGTGCTCAGACAAAAGTTTTACGTCCTAGAAACAAGGAAATAAATTGCTCATTGACATAAGAGGGAAACAAATCATAATTAATCCAGAAATTATATATTTCTCTGCAGAATTAGATGTAATAATTTGTAAGTGTATGAAAGTCTAACAGTGGATAAAGTTTGTAGTTTTAAATACAATGTTATAATTACTAATTGCTAACTTTACACTAGAAAATTATAAGAAAAACCATGAAATAATTCTTGAGTTTAATGAAAATATTTTGAAAACAATTTGCAAATTATTCAGGAGCTTTTTCTGCTGAGAGTGTATGAACCTTGTATACTTCAATAATGTAAGTTCATTTTATACATTACCCCTAGGACTTTTAGCTTTAGAAACTGGATTTCAATACCCATGGTGGTACAGCATAGAAAGACTATTGTGTAGCTTTAATACTTAATTATAAAACAAGGAAACATATTTTATGTATTTGTATTTATCCCAAAAACTCAGTTTTTATTCATTGTGTATGTTTCTCAAAACTGGGTTTGTGATATTTATTTTTTCTGCTCCTTCCCTAATCAAGTTTATTATTTCTGTTTTTGTTATGTGTGTCTTCTTAGAAATAAATTATCATTTTTGATATGTGCTTATGTACCTTTCTGAAAGAAACTGACTACAATATTTAGTTCTTTCAAATAGAGGGGGTGAAAGAAGGAAAAAGTGACTTTTTTCATTTATTTATAAAAAAAAAAAAAAATTATAGAAAGACTAAATGTATTCTATATTTGAATAAAGATAAATTAACGATTTATAGTATGAAATATCATATTTTTAGTACAAACTTGTTTTCAAATTATTTTGGAAACTAAGCTCTGAAAGTAGTAAATAGTTACTATTAGAAGTTCTGAGGACTATTGCAGTATTGTGGCTTAACTAAGTTAATTTATTCTAAGAGATATTACATTTAAAAATTGTTATTCAGTTTTATTATAAACTAGCGTATAGCCTATAAAAAAAAAAAATAGCAGGGCAAATACTATTACCTCCTTCCCTAAACTTACATTTCATAGCTAACTGAAATAAACAAATTTTGTGAAATAAAACTTGACCAACAAAGAGGCAGAAAAGTGCAGTCAAGGCAGTTAGCTATCAGTAAATTCCTATGTGAGCCAACCAAAATTAAGATAATTCAAGAAATGAATTTGTGGCATATTTATAGAATAATTATTATTAAAAATCAGTTTCACGGAGCCCTTGCACCCCTGTCACTAAAACTGTAATGAACAGACAGTAATCAAACTATTCTATCTGGATAAATGCATTTTGGCTTTTATAGTTTTTATGCCATGTCACTTAGCCACAAATGTATAACCTAATATAGTTGTTAGTCTATATACTGAAAGTATAAAATGAAATGTATAGACAACAATACTGGAAAAATATTTGTTAGTTTCTTAATTTAGAGTCTCCATTTGTTTTTTTATTAAAAAATGGTGACATAACATAAAATAGCTTAATTCAGAAATGATTTTACTTTAAAATTGAATCGATATTTTTACTTTCGTGATTAATTTTATGCACTTGTCTCTAGGCTAGGCGATCCGACTCTACATCTTTACTTTAGGCTTATTATACCAACACCACATTTATAATATTTCATGGTGCCCTTGCACCCCTGTCACTAAAACTGTAATGAACAGACAGTAATCAAACTATTCTATCTGGATAAATGCATTTTGGCTTTTATGACTCCTCCTATTTCAAGAAATCAAGCATCATTTGTTTTGTTCATGCAGTTGATTATCAGTTCTCTTTGCCGTGTCATTTAGTAGTTGTAATATTATTCATTATTTGTCATTTATTCCCTATTGGTACTTGGTACTGAATAACTTGCATATCACAGAGTAACTGAAAATAATTATAAGGTATGGCCTTTATTATCCCAATATTTGTATCCATTGATCTGATTTCTGGGTCCTGACCATTTTTTAGCAAGTGGCCTGTTTATGATTATCTTCAAGTTAAGCAGAGTAAAAGATTGATACATTCCATTCTGAGCATGTAGACTAAAACAACGAGTGGAACCCATTAGTTGACTAACTTTCTTGTAATGAAAATATTACCTACTGATCTAAATGAATAGCTAATAGATTGTTTTGTGTGTTCTAGATACTAAGTTTTTGCTTAATGCTTAGTATTAGAATTGGTTGATATTTAAATTAGTGTAATTAATTTCATCATAGATTTTAGTGGTGACTTAAATCTTTATGGGAGTTTCACAAAGTGCTGCACTGATTAGCACATACTTGCTTTTCAGTTTTTGTTGTAACTTAAAATTATGAAATGAATTTATTACTTATCAAGTTATTTCATTTTAGTTTTGTAATGTATAGAGGTTTCAGAAAATATAAAGAAAGGAGAAAAATAAAAAATGTATGTAACTTGCAAATGTATGTAACAGCAATAAACAAGAGTTCGAAAAATAAATGTTTAAATTAGAAGTAAGTACAACTGTATGTTGGTAGCTTTAAAATGTAATGGAATGGTAACTAGTTTGTAAATTTAAGCTATAAGGAGGTAGATGAAAATTTATATACAATAAAAAGGAAGAAAATAATTGAAAATCTCAGTTTTGATAACAGAAGTTGAAGTAATACTATGTGTTTAATTGGTGGAACAAGATGTAATTGCTGCATCAGTTTTTTGTTTTTCTCTATGTATACTTCCGAACAGGGGACAGCAAGTGACCTTGTTGTTCAAGTGGTCTTAATTGCTGAGAGTATGAGGCTGCAGGCAATGATGGCCACTTATGGAATCCATACCCAGACTCCTCATGAAGTAGAACCTGTCCAGATATGGCCTCCAGGACAGCTAGTTAAAGTAATTAGTTTTGTTTATATTATTAATATGATTAGTGTCCCTTATGGTTCAAAGTTGAGACTTTTCATTACCATTCTAAATAATACCACTGGATGAAAATTCATTACTCTATGTAAGCATTTATGTTTTTGTTATCTTGAAACGTTTTAATATCTGTTACTGCAGATGAAACTTTTAATTTTTATTCTCTCTGTGGTGTAGCTACTATGGTCTAAAGAAGATTATATTATACTACATGTATTAATGTGCTTGTTGTGTTGTTTATTAGAACAAGGCATTATGCTTTTTTACATTATCACTGAAAATTCTGATATTAGTAAAAATAAATTAAAGGATAAATTGACACAAACATTGTAGCCTGAGTATTAATATTGATTTAAAAAAAAGAGTAATCATTATATCTACTTTCCTGTTAAATACATTTATAAAAAAAAATCACACTTTAATCTCAAGCTCGTCTTTAAATGTTCTCAGAACAAAAGTATCGAGATATAAGTAGTCAATGATGTGTTGGGTACATAGTATGTGTATTTACTATGGTTCATAAATATTTGCTTTGTCACTAAATGTCTTGTTACAGATTTACGAGTTTCTAGGTGTGAATCAAAAGTTAGGATTAAAAGGACGACCACCACGACCTATCGGAGCTCTTGGCACTAGTAAAGTAAGTACTATTGAATACATTTTTATAAAAAAAATATTCATCAATACATAATTCTTGATTTAATTTTTTTAGCATTTTTACTATTTTACTGATTTTTGGAAGTAAACTTATCAACATTGCTCATATTTATGGTATCTTTCTCAAATTCTGCTGAAGTGTTGTGAGAACTGTCTAGATTGATTCTATACTGTTCCTTTATTGACCCTTTGTGTGTATCTTACCTTTTTACTGTACTTTTTACGTTCTCTGGGGTCCAAGCATCCACACATGTTTGCCATGTATTGGGACTTCTGATATGGAAGCCTGGATCACTGCAAACACACCACTTTGGCCTTACATTCCTATGGAGATGAAAGTCCTCCTCATGGTCAATCAAGTGCCAATATTTGACATTCTCAAGACATCTTTGAGTTGTAGATTCTTCAGTGAAGGAGTGTCAGCTGTTAGAATGGAATATCTGAACCAACTAGGGTGTTCATATTAACATTTGCATCAATACACTCAGCCAAATTTGTTGCACCAAATTTTTCTAATGTTTTTTAGTAACTAAAACATCAAACAGACAGACACACAGTAAGTTTTTTATGGGTGATTTAGGGTGAAATATATATGAACAAGCTTTCCTACATTAAACCTAGAGTGGCTGATTGACTATCTATCTTGCACAGGAATTAGAAGAAAAAAGCTGTCCTTGCAAGGCTCTGCATTGTCCTTAGTCTTGTTACATACAGTTTTCTTTTGCAAGGAATAATCCACCAATATGTGAGCATTGTGACATTCAGGTAATAACTGCCCATATATATATAATTCTCACTATCCTTTAGACTGTTAATGTCTGTCTTCTGTTTTATATGTTTTTAGTACTGTTGCTGACATTTGCTTGTCAGTCATATATCTCTATCTAGTTCTTTGGATTCCTGGCCATCTTTGGATTTGTGGGAATGAGCTCATTGACACCATAGCCAAATCTGCCTCCACTAACAATATTAATGCTTTGCCTATTCCTCATATGGATTTATCAACCTATTCTCAAGGCAAAGTTTATGCCAGTTAATTTGCCATTTGGAGTGAACAATGTATGAACAAGCTTTTCTATATTAAACTTTCAGTTGCTGATTGGCTATCTGGTTTGAACAGGAATCAGAGGTAGAAAGTTCTCCTTGCAAGGCTCTGCATTAACTCTTTTAATGATACTTTTAAAATGAAAGTATTTTAAGAAGGAAACATATACCGATCTTTACTTGAATTGGTCATCAGCTCATCACAAGACTTAAAAATAGGGCTTATAAAAACTATTGGCTATAGCAAAAATGAATTACAGCTCAAAAGAGCTGGATGAGGAAGTACATTATCTGGAAAATTTATTGGTGAAAAGGGATGATTATCCTATCAGTGTGGTTAAAATATACTTAAGAACTGATAGGTTGACAGAAAAAGAAAAAACATTTATTCAGGTGATTTGATTGATTGCATAATTTTGTATATACCTGGCTTATCAAATATGATAAAAGAAACTGGAAAAATGTATAAACTTCCAATTATAGGCAAATTTATTTTTTAACCAGGAAAAAATGTTCAATGCTATCTTAAAAAAAAATAGAATTGAACCAATTACAGATGAGAAAGAAGTAGTTTACAGTGTAGAGTATATGGATTATAATAATCTATGTAGCTGAGACTGGTAGAAATTGTAAGTACTACAACAGCAGAACAAGTACATGTTCCAACACATGTCTACCAACATTTTAATGATACACAACATTATAGGGAAAATATAATTCTTAAAAATCATTTGTCAAGAACCTAATGTTAATAAACATAAATTAAAGGAAGATGTTTTAGTAAAATAACATAAACCTATAATAAAATCCAAGGTGTAGGTTTATACTTATGCTAAGGTCAACATTCTGTTCATGGCTTCACTAGTGGGTGTATTTAATTGTAGTTTTTAGTTATTGGTACATTCGGTGGAAAACGAAGTCTGATAATGAATAGTAGATAAGACAACAACTGTAAACATCTTTAATTCCAAAACAGTCATTAAAGATGTTTACAGTTGTTGCTGTTGCTCTACTATTATTATTAGACTTCATTTTTAGTTGTGCTAAGTACTTGATGATGTCATGTTAACAGTGGTAAAATGTTGTTTTATTGAATATTTTTATCTGTCCCATTTGAGCTGTTATGTGGATTTTTAAAACACTTAATAAAGTTGCCAGAACTACACAAAGCTTATTAATTGATTAATATATCTAACATGCTTGACACCACAGAAATAACATTCTGTGTAAGAGAGAATGCTAAAATTGGGGGTGAGTAAAAATTCATATAACTGTAGCTAAGTGCTTCAATATCATGAGAAAAAAAGAACATATTTTAATGACAGGAAAATATCGTGCAGTGAATACTAGGTATTTCAAAAAGTTGAATATATACAAATTGCTTGTGACTTGTAGACTTCAAAACATCTTTACTGAAAGGCTGAAGCATACTCACAGAAAAATGAAGATGGAAGTACTTTTTTCATTGATAATTTCTCTCATCAAATATGTACATGATACTTTGGCAATGAAAGTGGAATATTTAAAACCATTTAATTTGATTTATTTTTCTTACCAGATCTCAGTTGTTTAGTAAAAGCATCATACAAGCAAAGAAATTAAAATATTATAAACATAAGCTCATTTATGCAGTGGTTCAGATGAAAAAAAAAACCTCTGATGGTCCCTCCTATTTTGTTGAACACAAGTTTACTAAATGCTGTCCATTGGGTATAATATTCTTGAATGGAAGTTGATGAATCTACAGAAAACTGGTAATTTTTTAAGATAATGTTTCTTTGTCTGAGTTAAAACTCAGTTGAAATATTTGGCTATGGGTTCCTTGAACTTGATGAACTAAGAATTTACCTGTAGGCAGTTACATTTGAATTAACTTAAGTGCTCCTGCTTTCAAACTAACTTAATTCAACCAGCAATGAAAGTGACTTGCACTGACTTGATAAGTATATTATCAAAGAGATTCAAGATCTATACTATGAGCCATTTCCTTTTGTTAGTGAAGCTTGTTTCAGTTTAGCTCATAATGATGATGACAGGTGCAACATGCTGGAGAAGTATCATTGCTGCAGATTAGAAAAGCATCCAAGCAGTTAGATATCAAAGTTATTCCACTGGTCATGAAAGTATAAAACATTGATTCACTTAATATATTTGTATTGAGGCCACCTGTGTATGAAGACTAACTTTTCTTTATCCTGAAAGTGTCTTTTTACACAGACTTGACTGTGTGGTACTTCCACATAAGTTCTTGTACTTACCAAATTTGGTAGAATCTGCTAAAAAATAAGCACTTGTAGAAGAAAATGTAATATAGAGTTAATCTGAATTCTATAACTTTGAGTTTGCAGAAAACTACCAAACACATTCTGAACAAATTGAAAAAGTAATAATTATTCAAACCTATAAACGAAATAACCAACAGTGACACGAGCAGTGCATACATCTCAAGAAGAATAGCACTGTAGAACTTTGTTATAATGTTATGTTTTCTCAGTCTGGAACAGGTTCAAGTTTTTCATAGAGAAAGAACTCTGAAACAGATATATCCAGTAAAGTCACCATTTTAACAGAAAAATAAGGGAGGATCTATTCTCATAGTATTATCTTTCCTGCCAGTGGAAAGACCACTGCCTTTCTTAACATAGTTTTATCTACTTAACAGAAATCTTTTTCACAAAAAAGTTCATATGATTCCATAGGGAAATGACCCAGAACAAGAGGTAACTAGAGTGAAAGGAACATAGCCACATTCTTTGACCTGTGTTCTACTTTTAAACCTACACACACGTATGCATGAAAATTTATTAAAATGTTTTGGTGAACTTTACTGAATAAAGGAAATAAAAACACCTAGTTTGTCTACATACTACATCTGTACTATGTTTAACATTAACATTTTGAAATTAAAATAAAATTCAAATAGATTTACTGTTCTATGCTCATTGTAAAATAAAATGTGACCATGTAGTTAATTACAATGTGGATATCAAGTAAGAATGGTGAAACATAACAAGATTCTAATAATAAAGTGTTCAGAAACTAGCAGAAGTAGATAAAGGAGTAAAAGGCCTAATTATTAAAAAAATCAAGAGCTACGACTAAGAGTTATAGTAAAGATATCTCATCTTGAAGATATGAGAAACTGGTTTTTTAAGAACTGTCTTTCTATATAAATTAAAAATGTATGCATTAAATGTAGTTGTGACACCTTAAAATTGTAAGAATGGAAACAAATTATGCCACAGATCTGTACTTATCTGTACTTTACAGATTAAAAGGTTTAGGTTATACATATATGTGTTTGTGTGTGTGTGTGTGTATGTGTGTGCGCGCATGTGTGAAAATCAATATTATTTAATTCTGAGTTTCACCTTTCAGTTGGAGAAAAATTTGACATCAAAGTTTAATATAAGATTGTAATTTTTTTTCATGAAGAAACCAAAATAATGAAATGCAGAAATAAGTCTGTTTTTTTTTCCTGTAGAAAGGTTGTGAAAATTTTTTCTATGTAGCACTTTTTTGTCTTATAAGGGAGCTTAAAACATGTTTTTTATTTCTCCAACAGCTGTATCGTATTTTAGGACAGACAATACTCTGTTATCCTTTGATCCTAGAAGTAAACGATTTTTATCTCTCCCATGACATGGCTCTGTTGATTGATGATATCAAAGTAAGTGGAATGGCAACATAAACACTGAAATTGTACCTTAATTTTCTGAATATAATACACACACTAATCTTCACAAACAAACAGTCAAATTTGCCTCATCACCATAAATAGTATGCACCTACTACCATCTCATAGTCACTGTAAATGGCATTACAAGGGACATCTTCATCATCAACTGAAGCAGCATTATCATCCCAGAGGATGTAGTCTTCTAAACTATCCATGGCATTTGTGAGGCAACTCTTCTAAAACCCACTGTCTTCTTTAAGCACTGAAAAAGTGTCGGTATTTGACCGTAAACAGCCAATTATGGTTTTGTTGTGATATGCTTTGATTTCATTGTGTATTTTTAAATCAGTCCTATAAAATCAAAACCAGCATCTTTATGTCGGGACAGGAAGGAAATATTTCAGAACAAACTACACTTGTAGCAAAACTGTTGCAGAGGGCCACGACTAATGAATCACCAGATGCAAATGAGGTTTTGAGAAGTTTATTGACAAACATAGCAAGCGTTAAGGCTTTTAGCAATTTTACGGATACTCTAACATTTTGATAATGTTTATTTGCCAGTCTCAATTGCAAAGATAGGAAGCACTACAGCAAATGTGCTATTACAGATTATACAACACTAATATTTTTGTCATCAAAAGGTTACTTTGACCACAGTACTGCAGGTGCAGTCAGAAGTTGTGCCAAATATCTGAGGACAGTGATTCAGACTCAGAATTTAAAGGTTTCACCAAAATGATTTGTAGTTTTGAATATCAAACATAAGATAGCAATAACTAGTTTTGTATTTCCAAACATTCTTAAATGTGCATGTAAATAAATCATAAAAATTGCACGACTTAGTTTCTTGATAATTTTATTTCAAAAATCATATTTAAAGATACTGAAAATGAATGAAAACTGGAAAGAATTCTCATTTATGTCCTAGAAACAGAGAGAGAATTGTACATGCCATCAAAACACAGCATTTCTAGTAAGTTTGTATGAGCATTCACAATGTGTGGTGGAAAAGATGGTCTGGACTGGCCATAAAGAAATCATTTAGATTTGAAGAATATATTAAATATAGTGAAAAAAAATGCATATTAGATTCGGAAAAGTATGGTAGCTTTTTTGTTGTGTTTTAAGTTATATTTGAAAACAAAAGTTAGAGAACATTTGGTATTATTTATATGATAATGTCAAACTTGCTTTAAAATTAATGTAAACAAAAGGGGGTAATCTACACTTGGTGTTTGTATCATTACCTTTGTCATCATTTAATTTAAAATATTTTTAATTCTTTTGGATGTTATGAGTTAGTGCTGTTGCCACTAGTAGTTTATTGCCCTATTGATTTGATATTTGTCTTTTAAGTTTTTAAAATTTCATTTTATCAACTTTACTTTTGATGATTTAGAAGATAATCATGCTAAAAATCTTTGTGTATTTTTAAATACAACTTTCAAATATAGCCACTGTATTTATGTTTTACTTCAGTTAATCAGTATTCTTTTTTCTTTTCTGTAACTCTGGTTTCTATTCCAGAATGAACTCCATTTTGTAGGCAAGTACTGGAGGATGTCAGGAAGACCTACAGTTTGTATTCTAATCAGAGAAGAACACATGAGGTTGGTTAACTTCTCAGGTAGTTACACCCATTGTGTAGCTACATAATATTTAAACAGTAAAATATTTTGAAATATATCTTTTTATCTTTCATAACTGAAATAGTTACTGTATAGAATTGCAACCTCTTATTAATTAAAGTATTTTTGTAACTAAACTGATTGAGTATTATATCCTTTTTTTTTTTAGTTTAGAAATTAGGGTATTTTTAATTCTGGGTATTCAAAAATATGAATATTTTATATAGCAGTAACATTAGTAGAATATTACACATAAAATATAAATGAATAATGAATTTTATTAAAGTTACTCATGTTCCCAACAAAGTTCTTGCCATGTACCAACACTTGAAAGATAGACTTTGGATAAGCACATAATAATCAGATATTTTAAACCTATAATAACAATACAAAATAATTTATCTTATAATCCTGGTAAAGAGTTTAAAGAATGTAATGACAAATTATCACTAACTCAGATGGTCCTTTGTGATACTGATTTGTGGACAGGTCTATTTTTTTTCTTGAAAATTCCCAGTGTTAAAAGCAGTTTTGTTTTTTGTCTGTACGTTATGTTGACTTACCTTTCTGATATTTAAAGTTTCTACACAAAGAATTTAAGTAGTTTACCGTATGTTAAATGAACCTTTTGAAACAAAAGTATTCAAACTTAAGAAAGAAAAAACAGAGGAGTTTAGCTTACCTCACAGTGATAAGCTACTGAGTTGTAAACAACTTTTTAGTACATTGAACCCTCAGATATGACCCTGGAGAGTACTAAGATTTGAAGAAAAATCATAAGTGAAACATATCTAGTCTTGTAAATTTTTATATAAATCGTTATCAGAATAGATAGCAATGATTGTTAGGAAAAACATTTTTATAATTTCAAAGTTGTATTGATTATCTATCAAAGTTTTTGCAACAGTTTTGTGTTTGTGTGTATAACTTTGTGAGACTAAAACCTATATTAATTCAAATACTTGTATTTTGGAAAACACTTTAAATCAAAACTTGTGCTGTTTAACCATCCATACAAGTCTAATTCTATAAGTAACAATTTTTTAGCAATCACATTTGTTTAATACTTTTAGTTGTATAATATCTGGTGTTTTGTGGGGAGGGGAGTACCAACTTTTAAACTTTTTTACAGGTATAAATGTTTACAGTTATTCTTAAATTACTTCCTTATTAGTAAAATATTTATACTAATTTATTACAAGTTTATTTTCTGCTTTGAATTCAGAAATTAAATGATACATTGTGACAAAAGCCAACCATCCTCTTTAGAAATTTTGTTTTGATTGTGTTTCATATAGGCCAATGCAAAAATATTGTGCCATCATGATTTATCTAAGTCTTGCCCTTACAGCTATTCAAAATATGCATTGTTAATATAATACCACAGTGTCACAACAGAATCAATTCCACACATTTTTGCAAGGGTAATGACATCCAAACCAATTCTTGTAACAAAAGAAAGACAATAAAACACTTAGAAATGTCATAGAGGTTTGAAAATTTTATATCACCCTGTATTGATACTTGAAGTGTTTTACATTATGTAACAGTATATTATTGTCATTTCAGGTCTTGCTAAATGAAAGACTTGTTGAATGTTTTGTACTACTTGTTAGTATTTGCAATAGGCGATATTTATTTTACTTAAAAGATTTTTCTTAGACCTTGTATTTTATTAAAACATTCTATAAATGTTTGTTTTCTTTAATTAGTTTACCAAATGTGTATCATATTAGAATGATTAAAAAATATCACCAAATTTTAATGTGAATAATGACATATATAAAATTTTTATCTAATCTCACACTAAAAGAATTGGAATGTGGTTTGTTACAGAGACATTCACTTCAAAGAAATGTTGGATATGTTTGCAATGCTAAAAAAAGGTCACTGTGATGGAGTTAAAATCCGCACAGGAAGACTACAGGTATTTAATATATATGATTGATATTTTTTCTTTATTTTAATCATTATCTTATTTTTAAGATATTTTAGTTTGTTGATTTTTTTTTTTTTGTGGTAAATGTTTGTAACATAACATTGACTGATGGAAATAATGAAGTAATGGAATCATAATGCTTTTAAGCATTAAGATAAAAGTTGACAACTGTTGTTTACCATTGACTTGTTCCTCCTAAGAATTGTTACATGTTAAGAATCTATATTTGGTAAATATACTTGTAGTTCTATGATTATATAACTGTCACATTTGGGCATGGCTTATCAAGGTTGTTATCACAGTTATTTCTTTGTTTTCTAAACAGAATCTCATTTCATCATCATGTATAGAACATTTGGATTTCTTGCATTTACTTCCATCAGACCTCCTTCCAAAATTTGAAGCTTTTCAACAACTTGAACATGCATCTATTGGATATCAGAGTCTGACAGATATACCCAAAGCGATTGTATACAGTGAACCAACATACAATTTTGATGTAAGTGTATTTTGGTCTTTTTTTTCCTGTAAGTTTCTTAAAAGCCATTGGACTTTAAAAAATCTAGGATCTTTTAAAAATGAAATATTTTTATCACTCAAAATTTTTTGGTTTGCATTTGTTGAGGAAATCTATATAAATATAATAGTACTGTCTTTTGTATGTCCATGTAACTACTTCACAGAGTCTGGATGGATCTTCACCAAAATTGGTATGGAGGTTCATTAGGTCCATGCAGGTGTACATGCAAATTTTTAATTTTGCCATTTTTATACTACTACATCTGCTGTTGATGGATCTTCACATGTGGCATGAAGGTTTGTTGAGTCCATGCAGAGATACATGCAAATATGCGATTTCACATTTTGTGTTTTGCAGTTTTTATGGGCTTTTTTTTACAATTACATGTAAGGGAAACAACTTTTCATGTCCTAAGATAACCTTTCATTAATCATAAACTTACGTAACGTCCGTCCATGGGACGGGTACTCCAGCCAGTGTAATAATAAAGTATTAGGCCTAAAATTTATGGTTAAAATTGAATAATCTGCAAAAGCTATCCAGAAGTGAAATGTTATAAATTATATATGACAGTAGTATACTAAAGTACACTGTAAATGGAATATTTTAGTATCTTGCCCTTTTGATTTTTAGTAAGATTTACTCACTGGCATGGGACTGATGCTTGAAATGTGAGAGAAATATCTGATCATTAGGTTTCTTAATAAAATTTATTGCCAATTTAAATTCGTATATCTGTGACTTTACTTAACTATTGGTAAATTATTTTACTTGGGCTTGAAAATTTCCATATATGAATTTATTGTAATGAAATATTGCAATATTTGTGATATCTGCACATAACTGTCCCTAATTCTGAAGGAGCTAGTCCACTGATTCTAAACCATCAGCCAATAGACCAGTGCTGGTCTGCAAGGAGGTTGAAAAGAAATGTGTTTTAAAATATAGCTACTAAAGTATTGTTGTACAATGTAATTTCAAATTACTTTAAAAAGTTAATATTGTATATCAAGAGACCCATGAAATTTAGGATTGAAACTAGCTGGTCCTCAGTTTGAAAAAAAGGTTGAGAACCACTGGGTTAGTCAACATCACCAACAGCCAACTCTTGGGCTACACTTGCGTGACTGAATATTATAAAGCATGTTTTTGTAGCAATAAGATATGAACCCTCAGATACAATATCATAGCTGCCTAATTACTAGGTCATGTCAAGTCATTATTGGAGTAAACACATCAGTGAGAAAAGGAAACAAATTTAATCTTCATACTATGGAATACTTAATACTGAGCAATAACGATTTTATAGAGAGTAATTTACATACATTTTAGAGGGGTGATGGATAAAATATGGATGATGACATGCTAAGACAAAATGTCTTATGTGGGTCACATTAGTGGAAATTCATGACTTTTTTAAAATATTCCCTTGTTGAATTAAGAACTTAAACTTGTATAC